CTTAATTTTACTATTGATCTTAGTGATATTGTACTCAATGTCTACAATATCGGCAAGAGCCGGGTGTGCAGGTAATTGTTCTAGAGAATTATTGAATTTCTGCCAGTTTATAATTTTCTTTAAAGGCAAGGTCTTCTCAAAGCCATGGTAAGTAAATTTAACAGGGAGATGGTCAGAGGTTAATTGATTAATCACCTGTAGGAAAGGGATTTGCTGGATATTTTTTTGTAATAACAATGTCGAGAACATCCGAGCTGCCTGTATGATGATACCTGGTAGGTTCCGTTGGTCCAAAAATTCTAAGGTCATTCGTAAGAGCATAGCTATAAAGTTTGTTGCCATTTGTGTTATTTCTTTGAGAATTCCAGCTATGATGTTTAGAATTCAGGTCCCCTGCTATAATAACAGGGTGAGTGATATTGTTAAAAATTTGCAAGTCATTGTTGGTGAGAATGTTTCTGGGGGGATTATAAGCCGAGATGATGACAATCGGCTCATTTGTGCGCGAATGCACAACGATCGCAGTGGTTTCAATGCTGCTGCTATTGGGAATATTAAACTCGTTGGCGTGCAGATGCCTTTTAATTAATATCATAGTACCGCCGCCCCCTGTTATGGTCTCTGTCCGTCCTGAATGCGTTGTAACCATTGATCTTGAACTTATCATTAGGTCTGAGCCAAGTTTCATTCACTAGAAACACATCAATATTATGGTGAGTTAAGGAAGTTTGCAACTTCAACGTTCTTGTGGCGAATACCGTTGGCGTTAAAAAATGCGAGATTTAAACTGCTGGGGGCAGTGAGGTGAGTTCTTGAATTACTGTTAATGTGGTTAAAAATTCATAATTGATGCTTGATAAAAGTTCAAAGGCTTCCCAGCCGACTTGGATTTTTTCCAATATTGATTTAGATTTTAAGAACCGCTCGAAGAGATTTTTTCCTTGCAGGAATAATTTCTTCAGCCAAATTATGAAATCGGAAACGGAGCCTAAGTTCTCACTTTCGACAGCTGCGTCCTGATTGGTGGATGAAGCATTCTGCTCATTAACATTTTCACTGCTATTTTGAGTTATGTTTCTTCTTGGAAGAGGTGGGAAATTTTCTAAGTTGATATCAGGGGGACTATTTTTTTTGAAGTTTTTCTCGCTTCTTTTTGGAATTCTTTTTCTGCAATTTTTCTTTTCAAGTTATCCGGATGCATTTCGCAACCACGGTACGAACTAATGTGGGGGCCTCCGCAGAGGCAACATTTGCCGGGTAAGTTTCTGTCTTTTGTACATGTAGTAGTAATATGGTTTTGCCCGCATTTTAAACACCTGGGCTTGTGCTTACAGTGAGCACGACTGTGGCCATACCTCTGACAGTGGTGACACTGTTTGTGTCCTGGAGTGGGTCTGAAGGGAGTAATTTTAACAGCCAAATCTAGAATATGCGTTATGTTGTATATTTTCTTGCCTTCTATGCTGCGTTTGACTTCAACCATGAAAGTGGGTAGTTTGACAATTTCATTGTCTATTTTCTTGGTAACTTGTCTTACTGTTTTAACCGGGATGTTATTGTCTATTAGTTCTTCCATAATGTCCTCGGGTTTGGTGTGAACAGATAATTTTTTGATTACAACTCTTATCGGTTTATCCTGAGGGAGAGGAAAGGTATGGTAAGGAATTTCCTTTTCGTCTAGGTATCTCGTGACTTCACGATACTCAGTGTCCGATTTAACTTTAATGTGGATATCACCACCTTTCTGTACACATTCCATGGATATGGTAAATTGCTTAATATTATCTCTGAGGGCTTTCCAGTCCGTGACATCTGAAATGATAATCGGCGGAATTCTGTTAGCCTTTTTGTGGGGCGTAATGAAATCACCTTCATTATTAGTACTGTCTTCTTGTGAGTTTAGCGAACTAACATTTGTAGTGTCCATTTTATCATCTATTTTTAGTGAAGCGTATTTATTTTTGGTTGACGTCATTGAACCGTTGCTGCTTTCACTAAGTGTGCGTTTGTGGTATTTTTTGGGTGTAATCCATTTTTCATTATAATTATTTATTTTGCTTATTTCCTGAATAACATTTGAAACTGGTTTGGGTTGCTTTGTAGTTTGATTAGATGTCGAATCATTGCTAGTATTAACTAACGGGATGCTACCGCAGATATTTTGCACTGAATCTCCTGCAGCTTGTTTAATCGCTACACACTTCTCAAGCTCTGCATAGGTTTTTTTGGAGCCATTGCTCCATTTCTGGGGTGATTTTCCGTAAGCCATTTCTAAGCGTGTTAAACGCTAAGTTAAACTCAGACATAATCTGCCTACAATCCTCAATCGTGCCATGTTTAAGAATATTCTCAACAATATCGCGCTTATTAAGGATTGCTAAATCATTTATCTCATCCATATTTACCAAGTCAAGCTATCCTATCGATGTACAAGACAATGTCCATAATGAAAGCGTAGAAATCAAAAATATACTCACGAACTTGTCCAGATGAGCTACTCCAAGTACACCTCTCGAAAAAGACCAACGAAAAACACTTACTATTTACTATTTATAAATAAATTTCCTTCACTTCCTAAATTTTAGAATCACACTCGTAGAGCAAAATAATAATACGAACTCAAACAACATTCGTATCAACTCAAATTGTAATTCTACTACTACAAACTGAGATGTTTTCCTCCTTTCATAAGATTTTAAAATCACGCGCTAGAATTTTCCAGTACTTTCTCGAAATCAAAAAGAGATATTTATTTGTTTAATGCACGCGATCTTGTATTTTCAATTTTCCGGCTTAGCTTTCTTTTAATATTCGTCACGCGCTGCACTGCGCGAGAAATAAAACCATTTAATTTATAATTGAACTAACATTAGCTTTTTAAATACCAAATTCGTAACAATACAATAAATTCTTTTCATTTGATAGTAATAGAAGATATACGATATAACAGAATGTTTTTATCGTGTACAGTATTTTTAATATCATATAGAGTATTAACATAGAGTATACACACCAGTTTTAAAGAAAACCGTCTTCTTCGAGAGTCACGTTGAAAGGTTTGAAATACAACTAAATGATAAAAGCTGAAAGTCATCCTGAGAAATATTAAGAGCTTTCAAAATAGTTCTCTTCAACATAGGCTAGATTCTGTAGACTAGTTGTCCAAAGATTAAATATTTAAAATCATCTTCTTGGAATCTATGAAAAATGTTTTTTATAACCGCATCAATCTCATCTTTGGAATGAAAATGATGGCTACATAAGTTTTATGTTAGATTAAAATATTGTCAAAAGGTTACGTATGGGAAGATCAGAAGAACAAGGTGAATGTTCTCCTGATCTTACCTCCCCTTTTGATATAATTTTGTTCAAGAAATTCGTCTGCCAATCCCGTGGAATGAGAAGATGCGTTATCATGGTGAAGCATGAGTTTCCCAATATTAATTTTTTTAAGAATTTCAGGAAGACGCAATTGTGCACAAGTTATCTGTAACTATCTTCTGTCCTTCTAATTTGATATCTTTGACCGGTCCTGTACTGTTAAAGAAGACAGCTTACTATACGTTTTTATTGTTGATTATCTTTTTTTTTTTTTTTTTTTTTTTTTCCATTTTTGGTTTGGGAGTTATCTTTAAAGATCCATACTTTACTTTTTTGAAGCTCTTGAATGGAGAAAAATGGTATGCACATTTCATCGCTGGTTATGATTTTATAAATAAAGTGGTAGCCAGCATCATTAAATAATTTTATGTTTTTTTAGCGACTTTGACACGCTTCGCTTTCTGAAATTCTGTTACATGGTGGAGATCCAACGACAAACTAATTTTTTCATTTGCAGTTCCTCATGAATAATTTTATTTATATCTAGTATACTTCATTTTCATGTTTTAATCGTAGACTTTGTAAACATTCTTGTAATTTAGTACCATTTTAAAGTAATAGAAAATCATAAATCACTCGCTTCAGCTCCATGTTCCTTACTTTGAAAATTTATTCTATGGCAGATAAATTACACTTGGCGCAAAAACATTCATCTGGGGACTTAAAAAGAGTTCAATAAATAATTTATTATAGCATATATTTTATGCACCTATCAAAAAATTTCAGAGTTACTTACTTATTTACACTACACCAGGAGAAAATGCCGAAAACACCTAGGAGGTTAATACGTTCAAAAAGGTATTAACTCATCTCAAGCTACTAGTAATTAACAATTTCGTTACCTTATCAGGATCAATATTCCTTCTTACCTTCTTCGGGGACATGCAAGGACCTGACTCGGAACAGAGAGCTTACTAAAGCTATGTTCACTAATTATGGGAAGTAGACAGGATACACAAGAAGGGTATACAAAACCCTTTATTTTTCTCTATTACAATAAACTTTCCGTACTTCGGAATACACCGACCCGCTACTTGGGGGTCTAACGTAAAATATAAAAATAAACTAAACTCTAATTTAACTTTAAATAATAAACGTGGAAGATTGGCCCTTATATTAACAGGAAGCGTATGTAGTACAGAGAACTGTGAAACACTACAATACGTTTAAAATTTATCAAGAGGATTAAAACCTCTGGCCTGGAAGGCAACACAGCAACTGCGTAAAACTTCTAAGGTAAGCGGCCTGCTTCGACTCACTGCTTCCTCTCTCTCGCTTGGCAAAAAGCCACAACTTAAATACTTGGCGTTCGCCAGACAAACTTTGCATAAAAACCTTAACGCTTATAATTCTGGCCGGAAGTAGAAAATAAGAAGTGATAGTAAAGATTTAAAATAAAATAAACGTTAGTAAAACTTAAGATCCTTACAACCTCACTGTTGCGTAGTCGTTTAAAAATTAGTTTACAGTAGAGAAAGCGTTTTATCAGAAATTTGTTTATGGATTATGCTCAAAATGCGCAATAATTAAGAACGTGAGTCTAATTATTGCGTAATAAGTCTGTTTGTGTCTGTAAGTAATTTCTTGTATCATTTTTAACACCGATATTTATATTGCAGTTCGGGAAATTCGCAAAACTGATAGTTGGATACACCGTGCCTACGACGAACTACCCAGTTGTATGGTATTCCAATATGCTAATTTCTCTGCTGACAATTCAATGAAGGTAAATTTGGGCTTCTTTCTTTCTCTTTACACAAAATTTTCACTCACTGTTTGCAGGTACATCGTTTAACAGGCAGACGAATATAAATCATTATGTACTCATTCGCATAGGCAAGCTCATCAGCATGCATATATGCACGTACAATATATACCACATAATACTTTAAGACCACATAAAATCTGCAAGGCATGATTCTTCATTCAAAGTACATAAAGAAATAACCCAAGAAAAATACCACGTCAGTTTTCAAGAAAATAACAAAAGAAAAGAATGACGTTGCATCCAGGGAGCGGAAAATAAACTTTATTGGAAATATGAATATTGGTGTATACTACATTAAGTTTAGACAAGAACATGCTCAGTAACTACCGCGCATATCAAAGTATGATTGCGCGTTCCATGGAATGGTTGACTGAGCCCGCTGCTGCAGCCTGATGTCCTCAAAAATAAATGCAGCAGGAATCCGCGCAACAAAATCATTTTATGTTTTTATTTTAACGTTTTTAAATTTTTAAATGGGATTTGATACTCCAGTTCCTTGAAATGGCTATACAGGAAGAATTCAAATCTTGTCAAGTCTGGAAATCATAGTTCCTCTCAGCTGGACGCCTCGTGTTTAGATGAGCGAGTTAAATACCCCGCATCCAATCTGTCACGTAAAGGAAGAGCGAAATGTGGCGATACACTATCACTCAATGCTAAATATATACTGGTTGCCCATCGTTTTAAACGATTCGCTGCGATAAAGCGGGAAAGGGAGCAGCCTCTTATAATGAATGAAGCAATATAAATGTGGTGGACAAATGCAGTTACCAAATAATTATATTGCTTTCTTACATATTTTGGTCAGTGACGTTCACACTGGAATTCCTCACAACTCTTTTGCTTTTTATTAAACGATAAATTTAAAATCTTTGGACATAAATGTTTTTCTGTCAATATTCATTATAACATTTTCGCCTTTACTGTTAAGTTTTTCTCGTATCCCTAACTAAGCTATCAAGGAATACGCGTATCACAGACTGGGAACCGCTGTGTTGGGGAATTGTAATAAACAATCTACGAGAAAAGGAGAAAAGGTACTATTTGATATTATATATAGAGGAAAATAAAAAAAAATCATTTATTCTCTTTGTTCCAATAAAATGATCGAAAACAGGACTAAACTAGTGTTCAAACTCTTGCATAACGCTGAATTGCTGGTGGAGTATTTCAAACTCTTGCTTAATACTGAATTGCTGGTCGACAGTTCCTGGTAGAAAAATGTCTGTGCTTTCCAGCTAATGTAAGCCTGCTTAATTGCTATGTGCATTTAAGCAGGCTTATATTAGTTGGAAGGCTTATATTAGTTGGTGCATTTAAGCAGGCTTATATTAATTGCTATTGCTTAATACTGAATTGCTGGTCGACAGTTCCTGGTAGAAAAATGTCTGCGCTTTCCAACTAATATAAGCCTGCTTAATTGCTATGTGCACTAAAACGTTTATAACTATTATTAATTAGGGCAAAGTATTTTGTTCAGTACATATATCTTTGAATGATTAATTAAAGGCTGTACTTACTACTACTGATGCACTTTCAGAAACTATTTTTCGTCATGGAGCAAAAATAAGCAAACATAGTATTGCTGAACTGACGTGCCAGCAAGCAACTGTTTCTGGTGGACAACTGGCTTTATTTTTATATCAGACCACCTTGTTTAATTACTGTGTGAATTCTAACACGAAGTTATTGTTTTTAATTTTGAACTGGGCATTTATTAAATACAACGCATACTTGGAAAAAAACATTAAACTATGTTAGGCTACAAGCGAAAAGCATATGCTGTAAAGTGTGGATGAAATTAAATACTGTAAACGTATTAAACGAAAGTAAAAGTACATGCTTTGTTTAATTGAATGTAGAAAAATCTAAGGGAAGACACATTAAAGAAAACACATTCGTATTCATATTATTCACAGAGAAATTACGAAGATACTCAAACAACCGGATATGCTTCGAGATTACAACTTAAATTGAACTACCATTGTTCAATATGAAGTAGTACTCCCTCGGCCATTGCTGAGAATAAATTACAGCATGGCTGCAATATTGTCTACTGAAATATTGCAATCGTGTTGTAATTTAAATAAATGTGACTACTATTGTAATATGATTGAAATTATAGATAGCTGCATGAAAACAGTTTTAACCACAAAATAATTACAATGTAATTATCTGCTTCATTCAATCAGTGACATATTGTTCAATTTTCAAGAATAAATTAAACCTCTTTCGTTTGTTGAATGACAACATTTCAAGAATTCACGTGTACGAGAAATATGAAAGCTAGATTAAAGATTTTATGCCTTGCGAATTGTAACATTCTGAAAGTTTCCTATACAATTTTGTTTAACGAGGACAATATTTTATTAATGTGTTATTTTATTATAAACTGATTATAAAATAAGTTAAAATAATGTGTTTCCTTCATGGAAAAATAACCGCGAGGTTAAGTATATTTAATTACATCTACATTGTCATTGCAAATTAATGGTAATTATAATATAATTATTATAAATTGTAAAATTACAGTTACATTATAATTGAAATAAGTGTAATTAGAATTAAAATTTGTAATTTTACAACTTAGAATTATTATTATTTCGTAATTAAAATATTAATTTAAATGCAATTACATCAAAACTGAATTTCATTGTAATTAAACTACCTACACTTAACAGCTTCATTGTATTTCATTATTAATTAATTATTTTTCTATCTGATTAACGATTACTCAGCTGTAAAATGAAATGAAATGAATCTTCCAAGCTATTTTAATTTATCGTATAGCGTACCGTAATAGTTATTCATTGCATGTCTGTTAAAGTATGTAATTTTTTAAATACTTTAGCATGATTGAAAATCCATTAATTCCAGACCGTTTCCTTTCGTTAAGGGCAACTTAAAAAAATCTGCTTCTTACTTTGAAAGTATAAAATGTTGTTGTCAACTTCTGGGGGAGGTTCCCGTAAATGTTGCGGCAAACTTCTGGGGGAGGAAAGGTGCATTATAAGGATTAAGAATCGCATAAGAACTCATGTCCAGAAACGTCACCCTACGCCTCCAGGAGTTGCTGGATAGGAAAGTGCTAGTGGAAAGTGAGGATTGCCTCACTCGTGCGGTAGGCACCATACGAAGAGCAGTGAACGTTATACGAAAGGAAAGTTTGCAGACAATGCACTTAGTGTATGGAAAGCTGAGAGTACTGGACTAGCCGCTTCACGTATTTATTGAGAACACTTCCCCGAGATACACCAACCACATCACAGTTTGTTTGCACATCTGCATCAAAATTTGTGTGACTACGTTTCATTAAGAAGTTACTGATGGCGCAAACATCGAATATCTGTTGTAACAGTCAAGCTATCGTACACCATTTGTATTCATGCCCAATAAATGTTTCAAATTAATCTCTCTCTTGTTTCCTTTCCCATTTTCTACCTCTGCTACCACTTACCCCTGACATTTCCGGGCATGGGTTCCTATGCAATTCTTAATCCTTATGATGTGCCCTACCTCCACCAGAAGTTTGTGGCAACATTTACGGGATACCCTGTACAACTGTCTTTATTGATTAAATTGCTGAAACTTGAAGACCTACATCCTCTGACTCATTTATTAAATTAGAGCTATGGGTTATCAACCAACTTCACAAAAATCAGATTGTGTGTCTGAACAGCCTTACAAAAAGTGGATTTGTTTTCACAGGTAAATGGCGTGTCAACGATACGTGAAAATATAGCTGACAATGCGGCTTGGAGAGAAGCTTATCTGGTAAGATATCTTAATTAAGCTTTCAGAATTTCTTCTGTTATGATTTAAGTTTCACACTCAAAGCTAAAAGAAACGAATTTCGACCCATTATTTATCAATAGCAAATAAATAAATAAAGTTTGAGATTGTAAAAATTGTACATTTAGGCTAAGGCTTAAAATTAGAAAGGAAACTTATAAACCTCCAGTGATTTAGAATGTAAACAAAACCTAGGATGTAAGCAAAACTTTAAACCTCATTTAGGTTAAGACTTTAAATTAGAAGTGGAAAATTAAAAACATCCAGTGATGAATAATTGACGTATAAATGGCACCAATTAGAATGTAAACAAAACCTAGGTTGCGTCAGCTAATGACTACGACATAGCGGCCATTTTAAGTGTGATAAATCGTGATGTCATATCGTTCTTTGACTTCACTTTCAGTGCACGGAACGTACAGACAAGACTTTCTTCATATTCTAACCTCTTTGGTCAAATATCTTCTTTACTATTAAATAATGAAGAATCTGCATGTATACATGCCTGTACATATGTACTTGTGCATATATGTATGCTCCTCACACTGTAGAAAATCATCGGCACACAAAACTTTCAACACAATTTGTTCTTGGACAAAATTCACGAAATCAGGAATTTTGGGTTTATTATTAGCATTTACGCTACTCAGTAAAGAGTGTTTATTAGTAACGCTGTTATTGACAATTTAGGAATTTGTAATGGCAGCAGCAGTCGATTTTCGGGGTATTTTGAATTTGTTGTTTTTCTGAGTTGATTACAAAATTTGGATCAGCCTGTGCATAACTAATATTTTATTTGATTGTGTTTTCCTTGCGAATATTGGAAGGCCTTTTAAAAGTGGATAGTTATTTTCCTAAGGTTTAAAAGTGGAAAGTTTGTGTTTTGGAAATTTTGAACAACAGTCATAGCTTGCGGAGTGTGGGTAATTGCTGTATTTGAGTTCTTCTATCTTTCCTTTTATGCGCGAAGGTCATTGTTGTATGCGGGAGAGAACATTTCACACAGCGTAATTCGGAAAAGCAGTTTTCCTAACGTTTTAAATTTAATCAGAAAATTAATCGTTTTAAAGAAATGTGCTGCAACTCGACAAAACGTAAGATATTTATATTTCAACTTTAATCAAAAACTCAGCGATTTTAAAGAACTGTTTTATCAGCGGCCGAAATAAAATATTTTTACCTTATTCATCCGAGTGTGTTGCATTTAGGCAATACGTAAGTGGTTTAATATTCTTTGAAATTTAATCTGTGTATTACTGAGAAAACTAAACGAATTTAAGGAAATAAACGCCGTTTAGTATTTTTGTTATGATTATTAGGTGGACCCTTGAAATGACATTTTCTGGACTCATTAAAATCATTATGAACATTTTGTGTTTGATAATAATCATTTTGGTGGTTGACCGCGTGGCTAGCATTTCTAGCTGGAAAAAATTACCTCCCGAAATTAAGAGTTTCCACAACAGATGGTTCCGTCGCCATAGTAATTAATTCACACAATGCGTTGTAAAACTATTTAAAGATAAAAAGGAAATAAATCAAAACAAAATAAACTGTGAATATTACTGCTTTAAATGTATTAAAAGTTTTTAGGCTGCTCCTGAAAATCTCATAAGGTTCTGTGCTTTAGGAACATCAAATGATAATATGAATACGAAATTAAATTTTCTAATTTTTTAGCATTCAAAAGAGGATAGTTATTTTTTAATTAGCAAAATGTTATCATGTTTCTGCTGCATAAAATCTATAAAATTTAAGCTTCAAATTATCAAAAATTTAACTTATCATTTTAAATCTAATTAAGAATATGGATTCTCATCCAACTTATCAATCCATTTGGATAAGAAAATTTTTCATTAATTTTAAGAGCACATTAATTGAAAACAAATAAACATATTAATAAATAATACTTATAAAATGATAATAATCCTATTACATACAAGGTATAATTGTGACTTTTAAAGTTAGATGCCATAAACTCATACACTCACTCCATATTCAATTATCATAGTTGAAAATTAAAGTCAAAATTAAATAATTAAATTTAAAACAAAATTTTAAAGTAAATCACTTGTAATTTTATTTTTAAAAGAAACATTCAAAAAATATAAACGTGCATAAATGAAGAGTAAATGCAAGCCGAATATCCAACTTTCTATATTATTATCCAAACGACAGCAATGAAAACAAGTTTGAATAGTTTTCTAAATGCATAGCTCCTTTTTCTATCTCTTTAAACACGAATTAAATGGATTTTAAATTAGTTTAATGCTCAGATTAATATGTTTTCACGTGTCAGTTGTTGGCTGAATATATAATGAACCAGATAGAAAATTTCCTATCTGGTTCATTTGCGGTTTTACAGCTGAAGATGGTGGTTCGGTAAAACCATCGAAACTAGTCCTGTGAAAATTTTGTAAATATAACGCTGATTTTTGTTGTTTGACTTCTGAATTAGTATTTATTCGGCGTGTTATTGTGTCTTAGCTGAATATAACTCAGTTACTTCCGTCTTCCTCATAACTTTACATTAGGTTTATAGTATTCATTAATTGAAGTTTTGCAGAAAATAAAATAAATGTATGGTAAAAGCGTAGTTTAGGGTACCCCTTGGCGATTTTTGGCGGTACATAGATACCGATGTTGTGCAATTCTTTGACTCGTTATTTTGGCTTGCGAAGCGGCGATTTTTGCGCCATAAAGCGACGCTACACAAAGCCAAAATAACTCTATCCATGTACACGTCGACCTATTTTCACTTAAAAAAATCCTCGAATTGCTCAAAAATGGCATTGCGACCTCTTTTAACTTTATCCATATACACGTCGACCTATTTTCACTTAAAAAAAAAAATCCCAGAATTGCACAAACTTGTATTGCGCACTCCCTTTACTTTGTCCATGCACACATCGATATATTTTCACTTAAAAAGTCAAAGGAGCACCAAATTCTACAATATAGGCAAACAAAAAATACATAATTAAAAAGGAAAAACATGTTATACATTTAAGCACTACCAAAAGCAAATATTCACTTACCATGATTTTCGAGTTCGCTTCGTACACCCAGAGCCACGTAAAAATCAAAATATCAATCATACTCAAATGACTTTTCTCAAACCAGGTACTCTTTCTGATCGAACGCTTCACATAGTGACCATCTGAACCTTTCTTCCTACAAACCCATTCAAATCCATCTAAACTGTTTTTACGTTTGGACTAGAGGCATATCCTTCCTACATACAGGACACTTATAATGGCTACTAAGTAAACCTTCATTTACACACCAGTCAATTATTTTCCCCTTTCGCTCCAAATCGTACAGAAACTTCAAATTAATCTTACTACATTCGGCCATTCTACCGTCTAAAGAATCAAACCAACACACACCACAAAAACGCTTACAAAACATCCCATGATTCAAAATTTCCCAGAATCATGCACCCGATTACGTCACAATAGGGTTTCCATAACATTCAACCACTCAGACTACCATAAATGAAACAACAACTTGGCGATAAATCAAACAACAACTTCGCCATAATACAAGGAGTACCTTAAAGTCTACTCTACCCAAATGTATTTGTTTTAACAGTATAAGCTATTTTTATATTTAAAGTTTATTTTGTTTACCTTTAATTTAAAATAATTAACAGTGTAGAAAAATAATTAACAGTGTAGTTTTCTCATTATTCGGAATTTTTGTGGTTTTCATTTAAAGTCGGGCTTGGATATTGTAATAATCTATCAGGTTAATATTTTAAGAATAAAATAACGGGAATGTATTTAAATACATTTATATTATTTTGTCCTTCATTTTACTTACGCTTATTCCTAATTTTGATTTGAACTATAAACTCATCAGATTCATTTCTCTCTTATTTTCTGCAGGGTTACCAATCATGGGTAAGAGATCATGGACGAGAGAATATGCTGCCGGGCTTGAAATATACACCGAATCAGTTGTTCTGGATAAGTGCGGCAAATGTAAGTAGCACGTGCTTCGTAACAATAACTAAGGTTACATAAAACTATGCACAAAGGTATTTTTAAAATTTAAGAACTATCTTGATGGTGCATGCTTTCTGCCCTTCAAAATACATACTAAACTGGGAAAATGTTAAACATTCACAGGTTTCAAATAGTCTCAGATATCGTTACGAGGAAAAGAGTTTCATTAATGAAAAATCATTTTAAAGAGATAGTACAGTAATCATCTGTATCACAGTAGAAAAACTTTCCATTCTTTTATTTGTAATATTTCATTTATCTTTCATATAGAATTCCCGGTCTGCAAATATAAACCTCAGTATTTTATTTTTAAAATGTTTTCAAGTCTCTCATGTTATCCGTCCCATGATTTTAAAATCAAAATACGGTTTACGAATTACACTCTTTCGCAAAAAAGTCGAAGTACCATGAAGGAAGTGGTTGTTTTTGATGAAATTGAATATGGGTATAGCTCATACACAGATAATAAAATAATTAAAAATCAAGGTCATAGTACCTATTCATGGCTTATAATCACCCATTAAATGTGTTCAAATTAGCAGTTGGTCGAACCGCCCCTGGCGGCAATGCACACTTGAATTCGTCGAGGCAAGGAGTGGTAAGGTTCCTAATGTCATCATGCCACACATTCTGCCGGGCATTCAACAGTTGTCGCTCCAGATCTGCGATATTTTGGGGTGCCCGAATTTGGCGGCACACTATGCCCCAGACATGCTCAATTTTTGAAAAGTCTGGGTACTTTGCTGGCTAAGGAAGAGTATCAACTGCACGGACGACGTTCCATAAAGGATAATGCAATCGGCCGCAGGATGGTATCAACATATCGTTAAGCTGTTAAAGATGTACGGAGGATGACTACAGATGACGTGCTGTCATAAGAAACAGCGCCCCACACTTCACATCAGGAGTTATGGCTGTATACCTTTGTAAAACAAAGGATAATTGGGACCACTGGCCCCGTCCTCACCAGAAGCGAACACGGTGGTCATCTGCTTCAAGAGAGAAGCGGGACTCATCGCTGAATACTATATTATGTCAGTCTGATGGCAGCCATGATGATCGGCTGCGACACCACTCCAGACGACTACCCCCATGTTGTGGAGTGAAAGTCTTAAAGGCCTCTGTGAGCTTAACCCCGCCTCAGACAAGCGCCGTGAGATGGTATACGGTACCACGGGAGGTATACAGCTGTAGTGCGTTGAATAGTCGACAATGATACCGTTGGGGCAGTTCTGGCCTGGCGAATAATCATTCTATCTTGCCTCGCATTTATGCTGCTTGGCCTTCCAGAGCCTTCATTTCTTCGGCAATTTTCTTGTAGCAACAATTTCTGCTGTAATATTTTGTTATTTATCAAATAACTATATTTATTGTTGGAAGTGGCAACGCCATATTTGTATTATGTAACCATTGCTCAGTAACGTAAGAAATTGTTTTTTCAAGTTTAGAATTCTGAAGTTTTTACCAGCTAGTAGTAGTATGAAAATTTTGACAGTTAAGAATTGTATAAAATTTGTCTATCTCCGTGAACTAGAAATAAAATTTATGTTCAAATAAGAAGATTATCTGTTTTGTCAATTGCTGCAAAATACATTACAGTCTTATTAAAATGGTGGTTCCACCGAGATCCTGGAAATTAGGAGTGCAATTATGAATTTCGATGGTGCTGGTCTCCTAATCCCAGGAAGTTGCTGAAAATTTGAGAACAAGTTTGCTAGTATTAATTCCCGAGTTTATTCATTTCAAGGAGAAACTTATGTCAGAAGTCTGTAGTTTTAAAGCCAGATTTTGAAGCGGATCATTCAAAGGTTATCCTCTGTAACTTGCGTCCGAGCAAAGAATTGTCAGAACAGGATATTGCTGATCTCTCAAGATAAGATTAACTTTTGGTTTTCATAAAAAAGTATTTATTGAATTTAGGTATTGTATTTCAGATTTATATTTAAATGGTGTAATTTCTATGTAAAATAACTCATACTAAAAACAGTAGGAGTAATTTATAATTGATATTTGTGGTAAAGAAGTATTTAAAAATTATTATTTAGGCTTTACTGATATTTGTTTCGAATTTTTTATTAATATTTGATATATGTAAGCCATCCCGGTATTTATATAAAAAAAGAACTGCTGGCTGAATTTTGAATTTGTTGCCAAGCAGGCGCGTGGAAAATAAGTAGTAACGTCAAACTGACGTAGTGTGATTTGATTTATACTGTAGAATTGGCAAAAGTCTTTTCTTAGTTCTCGCCATCCAGGCGTGTGGTAGATAGTAACGTCATCCTGACGTATTACAGATTGTATATTCTAAAAGTTGTATTGCCAAACTGGCAAAAATTGTTTTTGTTATCGCCAACCATGCGTGAAGATATATAGTAAAATCGTCAAACTGATGTGGGTAAAATTCCATTGTATTGCCTAACTGGCAAAGTTGTTTATATAGTTATAGCTAACGAGGCTTGTGAATAGTGAGTTATTACGTCAACTCCGATATTATTTTGTGCCAACCTGGAAAAGTTGTTTAAATAATTCTCTCCATTTGGTTAGTGTAAATTTCGTATTTGAGAAATTAAGTCTCGCCAGAAATTATACATTTTTAATACAAGTACGATCTTTTAGATCCAATTTCAAAAGGATGCCTATTAAAGGTAACTTGTGTCAACATGTCATTCTTAGCTAGGAGTAAAAAACAGGATTTAAAAGTACTAGCAGAAGAGTTAGGTTTAACCGTGAAATCTGAATCTAAGATGGCTCAGCTGCATAATTGATTACTGAAAATCCCGGTTATGATGAGGAGTTTACTCGAGAACTACTGGCTGCAATTAGAGAAGAAAGGGAAAGAAAGGAAGAACGCGAAAGAGAAGAAAGAGAAAGGAAAGCGAAAGTTAAGAAAGAGAAAAAAGAACGCGAAAGAGAAAAAAGGAGAGAACTCGAAAGAGAAGAAAGAGAAAGAAAAGAAGAGTGTGAAAGAGAAGAGCGAATTAGAGCCTTTTAGCTACAGAAACTTCAGTTGGAAGCAATGGCTGCAACAGCACAGCCGGTAGTTACCTGAGCAGCCTTTAAAAACCAGAATTCACAATGTCATGCCACGTTTCAACCCTAAAGAAGATGAAATAAGTTTATTTCTGGTGTTATTTGAGCGTCCAGCTAAAATAATGAATATACCTGCTGAAAATCAAGTGACTCAACTTATTTCATTGCTGCCTCTGTTACAACGGTTTAAATTGAGTGCGGAAAAATTTCGACAACTATTTAATAAACACCAAAAATCTACTGAAAGTACTTGGTATGATTGCTACTATGAATTAAAAAATTATTTAGAAACATTTAACGGATTAAGCATTAAAACTTTTGAACAGCTGAAAGATCTCATGCTGGTTGATCAAATTAAAAAGCGTACTTCTTCTGATTTCAAAGAACATTTTATGGATCGATGGACAACTATCATTTCACCTACTGAAATGGTTAAGAAAATTGAAGATTCTGAAGATGTGAGAAAAACAATAAAACCGAAATTGTCTGCCAATCAGACTGAGAAAATTAACAAAGGATCATTTAAACCGCATGATAATTTTGTGAAAAAAATAGAGCATCCGCCTCATTTTAAGCATTCTGATAGATGGGATGATTCAAAATACAAGAAAGATCATCAGCAAAGGAATCAGTTGCAAAGCAAAAACCAAGAAAATTTATATGACAAAAGATATAGACCACGTTGTTTCGAGTGTGTATCATAAGAACATTTTAAGCCTCGATGTCCTCGCTTAAAACCAAATGAAAAGGTAAATTGCGTATCTTCGAATGATGATTTGTTAGAGACATATACAATTAGCGGTTTAGTTAATGGGTATGAAATGCCTACTCTTCGAGACACAGGAGCCACTGTTGATGTTATTTCTCGAAAATACATAGATAACGCACAAATTACTGGAGAACATGTCTGCGTACAATATCTTTTAAATGACCATTTAGTGTGTCTACCGTTAGCTGAAGTTGAAATTAATTGCGAACTTGGTAATATAAAGGCAAAGGTAGCTGTTGTTACAAATGATCCTGGCAGACATGTATTGGGTAACAAAACTGCACAATTGTTCAAAAATAAATCCTTCTTAAATTTAGAAAAAAAAATCACGATCTCAAGTAAAAAGATCTCATGAAGAAGATCGAAGTAGCGTAACCGAAAGAACTGACGTTTACTGAGTCTCACGAAGATATTTTACCGCAAGCTGATGAGGAAGACAAGGAAATTAAGAAAGTGATTAATGTTAATTCTAAGGAATTAATTGAATCTCAGCATCAAAGCAAAGATTGCTTAGCGAAGCTAAAAATTAAAATATAAAGAAATATAAAATTATGTTTTAACTCGCGATCCATGTCAAAGAATGGGAAAATCTAATGAGCCGAAGCACTTTGACTTTAGTACCAATTATTGCAGAAGTATTTTCGAAAATTAACTTTGACGCATGCGGCCCTTTACCGATAACACCGAATGGCAATAGATATTTAATTACAGCTATTTGTTTAGCTTCAAAATATGCGGATGCTGTACCTGGTCCTAATATTGGCACAACGTCAGTAATTGAAGCCATGTTACAAATATTTAGTAGAATGGGTTTCTCGAAAGAAATTACAAAAGGTACCTAATTTATGAGCAATCTAGCCATTGAATTTGTAGAAAAATTTGAAATAAAAGTAACTAGAAGCTCAGTACACCAACCGCAGAGCAACCCTGTTGTGGAAAAATCCCCCAAATGATTTATGTATCACCGTTAGAGGGTACTTCGCTTCTGAGAAAGAATGCTAGTTTTTACTTTTGCGACGTAGTTAGTTAGCAGTGAACTATCGATGCCATCCAGATTGCTTTGTAAATAAAATTATTACTTTTGTAGATTGTTGAAGTATTTGACTTCATTTAAAATTAGATCAACCTTTCGCAAAATGGTGCACAACGGCCTGGAACCTTTGGCCAATTATAAAGT